GGCGTGGGTTCGATTGGATCGACATCAGGAACATCAGGTGGCAGTCCATCACCTCCCACAATGTCTCTTTTGCTTCAAGGAATGGGTATGAGTGGACTCATGAGCGCAAGTGCTTCTGTCAGTGGCGCTGCCTCTGCCTCAGGGTTCCAATCCGGCTTTGCGAGTCCGTTGAGCAGCTCGAGAGCTCCCAGTCCGGCAAGAAGTGTATCACCTCCTGTTCACAATACTATCTCCGAAATCACTCCCAGTATCACGAGTGGTTCTCCCCGGTCAACCACAAAGGAGCCTCCCAACGTTGGTTCTTCGCCACTGAAACGGCCTTCTCTTCCCCCGCCAGGGTTGGGCTCGAATCCAAACATGCCCAGTCCCAACATGCGAGCATCGAACCGTCTCAGCTTTATTTCCTACACTGACCTTCTCAACTCTGCACCGATCGCTTCACAGCCGCTCAGTGCTGTCCTGAGTCCAGGACAGAATGAGCCGCCTACGCACTTGGTGGTTGTCGACGCAGACAATGCGCCTAGCGTGGTTGGATCGGGAACGAACGCGAGCTCGAGCCACCTTCCTCTCGGTATCGGCAGTCTCAACGTGAGCAACCCTAGCGATAAGGTTGACGTTGATTCTTTGGGTACTGTCGGCCTGAGCAGTGCTGGTGAATGGGGTCGAGAAGGGTTGGGAGGTGGTCTTGAAGAACGATTGGAACGGCTTTGGGCCGCCGAGAAGGAAATGAACGAGCGTGGACGTCCCATGAAACCGAATGGTAGTGCTAGCAGGTCTGCTAGCATTGGTGTCAGTATTGACAACTCACAACCAGCTCCTACCACAACATAAGGCCTCTCTGTGTAGGCCCCTAGCTATCTAACGGCGTAATTGATTACGCCGGCTTTCTCCATGCCAAACTGCGACTCGCCCTAACTTTATTCTCCAAAGTTCCTGAAATCTTACGAATCGACTAAGAAGAAAGAAATTTCGAAATCACCTTCCTCCCAATAACGTATCTCAACTTTTTTTCTCCAACTTATGCTTTCCGATACTCTTTATTCGCGCGAAATTCCCCGGGTGATATAGAAATGTGATAAACTATGGGATTGTTCAAAAAGAAAAACAATAAATTATGACCGGCGTCTTTACAACAGCTGCTGCCCCTTTGGGCTGGCCTCGCTTCTTCCTCTTTCTTCCATGCTTGCCCTTCTGTTCCGCCTTTTCGATCTTCGATTTCTCCCTCTGCTCTCCAGTCTTGCTACCGAGAACGAGCTCATACCTCTTCCAACACTCCACCCTCATGCCCCTTCTCCAAATCTTTTGTTTACGAGGTTCCGTTGACGGGCACTCTGCTTTTTTGATGCTGATCTGTGTACTGTTTAAAAAGCACCTAGA